TTGTTACTGATACTGAAACTATATGATTTATAGATAATGCCTTTATTCTTTTCAGTGACTTTTCCACTTAGCATGAAATAGTTAAGCATTCAATAAATAAAATTGTGTGACCTAGTGCTTATGGAGCTGTACAAAGATAAGGCTGCTGGTTGGAGCTGCAGAGAAGGCATGGCATCACGATTGCAAGCAAGGGGTTTGTGACAACTGGCTGCTGTTGACACCTAACTCTAAGGCAAAGACTCAGAATTGTGATTCACATTTGTATGACCAAACATGTGCCTGTCATGTAACAGGGTGGGACCTGCCCTGTCTCTCAATGGGAAACATGTTGACTGGAAGCAGAATGATGTTATCGGAACAGTTTGTTGTTCTCAGCCTGCTTCCAAGAAAGGAAGTGAATGGAAGCAGTCATCTTTCCAGGTGAATTATTCTGGCAGGCAAATCCAGTTTAGTCTCAGGTGAATCACCACAAACTGTTTGTTCACATAGTATCACTGTCCATTTATAGACTCAGACTATGTTTGTTCATGTCTGACTCTAAAATAGTAGGTACAGCTCTGGGCACTGTTAACAACAAAGATGACTAAACCTACCCTGGCACATCACTAAGTTTTACAATGGCCATAATCAGGCAGGACACTGCACATCTGACCTTATCAAAATAATTCTGAAAAGAATTGACCTTGTACAAGAGGAGTTCCAAGGTCACCAGAGCCACAAAAAACACTGCTAAAGGCAGAAATCAAAGGTAAAGCCATTCTGTATCATGAACTGCATTTTTTTAATTGTGTTTGAATCACATATTTGGTCATATGAGCATGACTCATAACTCTGAGTCCTCTTCTTGGAACATTTGAGGTCCTGGATGCCTAAATTTCCAACTGTGATACTCAAGAATATCTGGCTTAGGAAATCCCTAAACTGCAGCCTGGTGGACGATGGAAGAGCACTGCTATGTATTGTCCTGCTCTTTCACTCCACTCTATGCATTCTTTTTGAGTTTCTGTCAGAAAGAAGACTGTAGACTACATGAAATATTGTTCTGACGTCCTGTATCTGTTCTTATATCGTGGCTGTTCAAAGCACTGAGCATGACCCCTTCCATCAAAAGCTATAGATTTTAAGCTTTTAACAACTGGAACTATCTTTTGTGTACAGGCTCAGAGCATTTCCTCTCCAACAACAGAACTAATTTCTGCTAGTCATTTAGACTTCAAAGGTCATTTAAAGATCCAGAGCTACATGTGGTTTCTTTTTAGTCTCTTTCTGCCCTGGTTCTTGGCCTCAGGAGATCTCCTGGTGTTGCTGTGTCTTGCAAACAGGTATGGCAAATCAATTATTCATGTCCATCAGGACAAAAAAACTCTTCCATTTACCTGTGCAAACCCTTTCTCATTTTGAGCTCTGCAGGAGCTTTTCAGTGAAGACAGCAGGAGTCATTTAGCTCTTTGCGTTGGGCTGGACAGATTGTCAGGTGTTGCTTTAAATAAACAAAACATTGACCATGTTGCTTCTACAACTGTTGGGTGTGAACTTTATTCTGTTACTCCCAAATTGGTTTTAGGTCCCTCTTCAGGGGATATGCCTATCTATATAGAGGTTGCTTTAGTGGTGTCATTTTAAGCTCCAGGCACAATCTGTAAAATCATGAAATAAATTCTCTCTGACTGGATGATCATAACTGAGGCTCTCTGCAGTGCTACATGAAGTTGGTTCCTCTCATTGACAGATAGCATTTTGGTGACACTAAGTTTTGTTAAAAAGTTAGATGTTCAAGGCTGAGGTCTTCACCTTAGACTGTTTGGTGGCAGACAGGGAGAAGAAGATCCTTCCAAGGTGAGATTTATCTCACCCTAAAACAGATTATGTTCATGTAGCACTAATTTTAGTATTACTTTCTCATTGCTAAGTAGAATACACTCCTAGAACAGAGGACAGAGTGAATATGACAGTTGTGATGTCTCAGGAAATAAAATCAGGGAATCTTGCAGCCAAAGGGATTGTTTGATCACTCACTCAGACCTGCTGACTACTGGCCAGAGAACACCTGCATCCAGCCAAGCTGGAACAGATGACAGAAAAGAAGGCTGAGACTGGAAGCTGACTAATTCGTTCCAATACCTGGTACCCTTGAAGTTGCAAATCTGCATGTTTCTGAGATGGCTTTTATATCTTCTATCTAGTGACTCTGGCTGTGATTATCTTATGCTAGATAAAAAATCTTTTTAAGCTCAGAAATAACTTTCTTCATAGACAGTAAACATGACATCCTTTAACATCCTTCACAACAAAGACAATACATGATGCAGGAGCAAACATAGGTCTAAGCCTTTGGTAAAAGCTCTCTGTGCAAGGAGTAAAGTCATTTTGCAAGTGGAGGAGAAGGACCAGACGTATCTCAAGAGAAACTAAGCATGTAATTATCTGCACAATGAAATAAGGATTACTTACGGGGATTACTCCAAAATTGTGTACTTCCAGTGACTGAAAGGGATCCTCTGGTATGTATGGAGCCTTTCTGTTGTAAACTGGATGGTCATACACAAGCTGCGGAATAAGAATGAACCTAGTGCTTACCTTTGGGCTTGCCTACTGAGAAGCTGAAGCTTGTAATTGCTTCAGGAAGTGTACAACCCTTAGACTAAAAACCTGCTAGAGGCTTTGTCATCAAGAAAGTTAACACAAAGATGGACAGAAACTTACAAAAATATCAGAAAGGGAGATAAAGAGAAAGCAGAACAAGTTGGAAGTATAAAAATGGCAGAGGAAAAAAACACCAGAGAACAAAGCTAAGAAAAAAAAAATGTATTCTGGCATCATTAACCATAAGAAAAGATGACTAAAATTCATTGTTGTCCATGAAAGCTCTAAACTATGTGGAGCTGTGTTCCATCACAGGGGAAGCTGGATTTGTATATGCTGAAGAAAAATATGGGGTTTTTTGTTCCATTTAAGCTCTTGCCATTTATAAAGAGCATTGTTAGACAATACTGCTGATAGATGTACCTGGACGCGTGCCATGATACCAGGTCTGTTGCTGTTTGCCAAGCAAGGCACAGCTGGTGTGATAATAACACATAATGGATCATAGTTCAATAGTTATCAGCTTAAATGCTTAGCAAAAGGGGATGATTTTAAGCAATTTTCCACAAATTCAGAGAGCCAGAAATAGAACTGAGGAAAGTAGTCTAAGGGTTGTTGAAAGAATCCTGACAAAATCCCAGAAGGGCTCAGCTCAGATCCCTGCTTGGCCTGTCTAAACGAAGGACAGCTACATTGAAAGTCACCTCCTGAAATGTTCAGGAGAAAGGCTCCATTCAAGCTACCTGATTGCTGACTTTAAAGAAAAAGGCATTGCAAATTTGTAAAACTCCATGAAAAGAGATATTAAAAAAAACCCTAATAGTGTCCTGTGCAGCCCCAGGCCAGGAGTCACACACACGGTGCTACATTATGGCCACCAAAGGTGGTTGTTCTGAACTTGCTCCTCACTACTGATTGCAAAGCAATCACGAATCAAAAGGAGAAATGGGACACCCTTCCTCCATGAAAAAAAAAAAAAAAAGATAGAAAAGGAATAGGGATCTTAGAACAGGCCATATGGGCTTTAGTGGTCAGAAGGGGTCTGTGAAGCTCACAGCAAAACACCACAAATTGTGCAAAACTTGGACTGGCTCAAGCTGACACATATGTATCCCTTAAGCGACAGACTAGGTGTATGTAGCACAGAATTCCACAGGTATATGTGCCCTGCCTGTCAAGTACCGCCGTGCGTACCAGGAGCTCTCAAGCACTGTGTGTGTGTGCACATCCTGTCACACCCCCATGCACACACAAGCACACACAGTTTGTCAGACAGCCCACCTCGCAGCAAGTCCAAATACATCTATATATTTGGGCTTCACACACACACACATCCACACCATTCTCATACATACACAGGCAGGCATGTATGGTATGTATTACATACATAGAGTGGCTCAAGTGTGCACACACAGCTGTGTGCACAAAGGCAGATGTATCTTACACACACAGAGTCACACCTGTGCTGCAGAGCGAGTCAGGCCTGCACACCCAGAACAGGTTGTGCCAATACAGTGGGTGTTCATACACAAAACAGGTGCACGGAGGTGTCTCGCATACACATATGCAGGAGTGTCACACATATAACGTGTCCCCCACACACAAGGTGCATCTCTCACATACACACAGACCAGGGTGTCACATATACAGAGATGTCTCACACACATGCAATTCACACACATGCTGCAGTCAGACATGCACACGTGGAGCAAGTTGTGCACTCAGCTGAGTGTTGCAGACATATGTGCACTTGAGACTATATCACACGCATTTAAGTTTCAGACATGCTTGGGCATGTCACATGGCGTCTTTCAGGCAAGACGGATTTCACATGCTTGGGTCTGTGTCACAGATGCCACACAGTGTCTCAGACATGCAGAGATGTCTCACACTCGCACAAATACAGGCAGCTCTGAGGGTACACACATTGTCTCAGACACACAGAATCACACAGGCAGCTGTTAACAGGCACACACGGCGAGTCACACCCTGTCTCGCACACACAGGGGTGTTGCACACCCACACGGGGGTCACACACAGCATCTCACGTGGTGCCTTTCACAGACACACGTGGGTGTCTCTGTGTCACATCGCCTCTCACACACGCGGGTACCTCACAAAAACACTGGTGGGTAGCATGGTCACTCAGTGCCTGTCTCCCACACTGGGTGTCTCTCACCCTCTGTACCCCTCTCCCCGGTGTCTCACACGCACACGGTGCTTCTCGTGCACTCACGCACACGTGTCTCCCCTCATGGTCACACACAGCCTCCCGCTGTCCCGCCGACACAAGTGTCACACGCGGAGCTACGCACCCGGTGGCCTCTTCTCATCCTCCTCCTCCTCTCCCCCGCCCTTCCTCCCCTCTCCTCGCCCCTCCCCGCCCCGCCCCGGCGGTGCCCGTGGGCGCCCGGCGCCGGGGCTGCCCCGCTCCGCTCCCGATCTCGCTCCCGCCGCCCGCGCTCGGCTCCCGCCGCGCCCCCGGAGCGGAGCGGGGCGGGCGAGGGGCGCGGCCATCGCGGTCCCTCCCGCAGCCCTGCGCGGCGGCCGAGGCCGGGGCCGGAGCCGGAGCTGGGGTGGCCGCGTACCCTGGCAGGATGTCGGGGTCGCGCTGCCAGACGCTGTACCCGTTCTCCGGGGAACGGCACCGGCAGGGCCTGCGCTTCGCGGCGGGGGAGCTGATCACGGTGCTGCAGGTGCCGGACGGCGGCTGGTGGGAAGGGCAGAAGGAGGACGGGCTGCGCGGCTGGTTCCCGGCCAGCTACGTGCAGCTCCTGGAGGTAGGAGCGGGGCCGGGGAAGCTCCTATCGGGCGGAGGGAACGGCGATGCGGGGGGGGGGCCCCCCGCGCGGGGTCGGTCCGGGTCGTGGCGGGAGCAGCACCCGTCCCGGAGCGCCCCTTGCTCCACCGGCCGGACACAGACCCGGGGCAGGCCGGCAGCGGGTGGCGCTGGTGCCGGTGGGTGCCGGCAGCGCTGTGGGGAACGCTCGGCTGCAAGCCGGGGGTGCTGTTCGGGCACACCTCGGCATCGCTCTGCCTGCCCCGGCCACCCCAGCGCTGGAGTGTGCTGGGTGTTGGTACGGGCATGCGGCAGTCGGGGAAGGAGCAGCCAGCCTGGCCCCGCTCCGGCAGCAGGAGCCTTTGGTTCCCTCAGTCTCAGTGTCAGGGTTCGGGCTGCACAGCGAGCTGCGGGCTCCTCTGAACAACAGCAGCAGAAATCAGTGGTTGAGGGGTCAGCCGTACACGTGGGCCAGATGCTGGGCAAGTTCCTCCTTTTTCTCTCCCCTCTCTTCCCTCTCCCTCTCATTTCCTTTCACTGAACATCTTTTGGCTTCATACTGTGGAAGAAGTAACTCAGGTAGTTCCCCAGCTGGTTGGAGGTACCTTGCTGCACTATGTGTGGCATGACCCCAGAGAGCGCCAGCAGAGGCACAATCAGATGTCCAGACTCAAAAGCAAAATCACTGCCCAGACCCTGCCTTGTGCCTGACCTTCTGTCAGGATGCTGAGGAGCTGTTTGTTTCAGGTCTTTTCATGGCCATGACAGCTATGGCAGCATTTGTATTCCCACCTCAGGACTGCTTGAACTTGCTTGCTATCTATCCTATGCAGACAAGACACAATGCAAGTATAAAATAGATGTCCATGAGGAGTGCCTTCACAACCTCTGCATTTCTGAAAGTGGGATATGAAACATCTCGTGTACCAAAGCAAGAACCTGCCATGTGCCCATCAGTCCTTCCCTCACTGACCATGGCCTGGTGACATTTAGAACTTAACCTGGGATGTGCATATGGGAACCGTCTCCCAGTCTCCCTGTAGTGACTGGGCTGAAGTGGTTAGCAGCACAGAGTTTCATGCATCAGCCTGTGTTTGTCCTGCAGGATTCTAAGGGGAATCAGGCAACCTGCTGTGCTTACATGCAAGGCAAGCACTACCCACTCCAGGTTTTCCACGCACAGCCTCTGGGGAATGCAGAGTGGCAGGAAACATAGCCCTGAGCAGAACCAGGTCCTCCCCCTCCCCCCCCCAGAGCCATGTCCTGTGGGTGAAGGGTTCTGTGCAAAAGGACATTTGGCCTATAGAGCTGGCATTGCCTTTTGGTTTCTCTAGTCCAAATGAGTTTACAAAGCTGTGATGTTTCCACTGAGGTTGTGTTTCTCATACTTACCTGGAAAGACGGGAAAGTAGAAGCAGAATTTCCCCGCCCGGTGCTACAAGCGTGGGGCCAGGGACTTTTCTGTACCACTTGGGATTTTTTGGATAGTTTAAGAATGTGGGAGCCCTTTTGTTTGTCAGGTTTGCCACCTACAAGATCATTTCCTGAGATATGTGGATGTTTGTGGTTTCACACATTGCTAAATATTTACACACCTAGCCAGGAATTTAGGAACTGTTTGAGGCAAAATGTATCATGAGATGGGACAAACTCTGCTTGGCAAAGGCAGTGGGAGATTTCTGCGTGCACTGTAATTTTGCTCTCTTATCATCTCCTTCTTGGAAACTCTTCCTATAGGAGTTGCACTGTGCTCAGATTGGTGCCTGAAGCCCCCCTATGTGCCCTTCTGACCCTTGGCTCATGCACCATTGAAAACGTCTCTGCAGACCAGTTGTCCAGACAGACCAGCTTCCTTTTCTCTTGAGCAAACCTTTGGAAAGAAGGCACGAAAGACAACAAGCACCTAGTGGTGTTCACTCTGGCATGATTTCATTCTCTCCAGAGGTCATGCCTAATGAGGACTATGAGCCAGTTAATAAGTATGTCAAATAAGGGCTAATTAACCAATTTAACCAAATCTATGGGAACACAGGAACACAGAATAGATATGTGAGAAGAGGAAGTAAGATATGTGTGTGTCTCCTGGCTCTGTGCAGGTGGCTTTTCCCTTGTGTGCAGGTATGCAGCTACTTGCTCAGGTACCTGATCTAACTGAAAGACAGCATGCTAGAAATACTGTCTTCTCTGTTCTCTGATCCAAGTCCAACAACACAGACACTGGAACTGGCACCAGGGAGGTGATGATAGTGGGGATGGAGCCATGAACATGATTCTCCTTTCTGTACCAGCTAGCTCTTACATTGCCTTTGGGTGGCCCTGGCCCTGCAGATTTTGGCGAGGTTCAGTGTTACATTCCAAGCTGAAGTTAACTACATGCTGCTGTTGAAAGAGGGAGATGTTATTCCTGCCCTCCCTTTCCCGTGCCCAGTCTTCTCTGGCAGGTGCCTGTGCTGTTCTCTCTGGAGCCCTGTACTTCATTGTCCCAATGGACAATGCAGTTGGCTGCATTTTCTGCCACAGCAGTGACTGAATGTGGCTCATGACACTGTCCAAGGCGTGCCAGGCCTGGCAGCATTTGCCCTGCATGGCACACACCCTTGTTTCTCACAACAAAGTCTGTCAGGTGCCTGTGTACTACCAAAAGGAGATGACCTCCTTCTGAATCCTTTGTGACTTAAGCCTGCCACCGTTCATAGATAGGCAGGCTGGAATCTCTCATTCATGTGACCTCACATTCACCAACACTGAAATCTCCTGTAGTGCTGCTCTTAAGTCTGCAATGAGCTTCGGTCCTGAGCTGAAAGGAAAGGGAAGAAGGTATGAAGGGCCTCAGCTGAGAGAGGAGCTCTCCCACCCTTGTGCAGTTAGTTTAGCAGCCAGTCAGCACCGTGCTGATTCCTGCTGGAAGAAGAAGGAGAAATGACTGTTCTTGATGCTGTCTCTGCTTTGGGAGGAACTGTGCTCCACCAACAGCACCTGTGTCTGTCTCTTCACAGGCAGGCGGGCTGTGGAGCTGCCAGCAACCTATCACCGCATGCTGCCACACGGCTCTAGCTGGTTCATCCAGGAGCTATGGATAGGGCAGGCTCTTCTTCCTCATCTGCACTCACACTGAGTGGTAGCCATGGTTGGTGATTACCCAGAGCAGGTTTTAATGGCAAATGTGGAGTTGGACAGCTCTGAGAAAACCACAAGGTGACTTTTGGAAATGAACTCCAGTGCTAGAATGAGCACTCCTGAGGGATTGCTGCTTTTGCCTCCTGAGGTCTTTTGCTAGGAAAAATGTGGTTTCAGTTCATTCATCACAGAAGATCAAGGAAAGATCAAAACTGTAGTACATGTGGGACAAGAGAGGTGTAGGGAGGTAAAGAGGTAAACATGTTTGGCATCCTTCGGTTCCTGCTCCTGTGGTTGCTGCAAGCCCACAGTGGTGGGTTAGAAGACAACAGGTTGGAGTTTACTGCTAATGACAGTGATAGAAGCAGTGAGAGCTGGAGTAGGACTGGAAGACTGTGTGGTAGGGGTAAGCTAGAAACAAGCATGTTTCTTGAGCTTTGGAGAGGATACAGTTGTCATAGAGCAAAAGGGATAGCATAAACCAAAAGACAGGCTATCAGAAGCAGAGAGCAAAGTGAGCAAGGGAGGGTATTAGCTCTGTGGTGGGGTTCCAGATGAGATCCCCAGGGTCAGGCTGGTGGGCAGCAGTAGGGGAGGCTGTTGTTGCCTAATTCACAGAAAAGCTTGAGTTGGAAGGGACCTCTGGAGATCAGCTAGTCCAGCTTCCCTGGCCATGTGTGGTCAGGTTTTGAATACATGCAATGATGGATACTCCGCAGCCTTTCTGGGCAATCTGTTCCAGTGTTTGACTACACTCACAGTTTTCTGTTTTGTTTAAAGGAATTTCCTGTATTTTAATTTGTGCCCATCACATCTCATCCTTTCACTGGCTGTCACTAAGAACAGTCTGTCTCTGCTTCTTTTACTGTGTGTTGTTGTCGTCGTCGTCCCCCCGTTTTTCATACACATTGATAACACCCCTCTCAAGCCTTCTTTCTTGATGCTAAACAGTCCCAGTTCTTTCAGCCCTTCCTTGTATGACAGATGCTCCAATCTCTTAATTATCGTTGTGGCCCATTGCTGGACTGTCTCTAGTACGTCCTTGTCTTCCTTGTGCTGGGAAGCCAAGTACTGTTTCTTATACTCCTGTGCTCTTGGAGGTAGTAGGTTAAAGGAGAAACAAACCCATACCAGTATTTCTTGAACATGAGAATCCATTGACACCAAAGTTGTATGGTTTTGTCTTGACTGAGCTTGGTCTATGAGCAAGCAACACCCTTCTGCAAACTCAGGGGCTTAGGAAAAGAGAGATGTTGTTGCTTGTGATCCATATCCCATTGAGAAGACCACAATGAATTTCAGCCTTCACCCCTCTTTTGATGATTTATGGCTATGCCAGCCATGAGACCTGAAAGTTGGGGACTAGCAGCTGTATCTTCTGACCATTTCCTCCTTCATGCTTTTGTATTTTGCTTGACCTTTTGACTATTTGAGTGGAGCCATACAGGGACATTCTGTACCAGACTGTTGTAGTCCCAGGTTAAGCAATTGCCCTTCCTAGCCTAGTGCAAAGAGGAATCTGTGCAGACAAGGATGATGAGGTGTCCTTCAAGCCAGCATTGCAATGGTGAACACAGGTATAGAGCAAATGGAATGTCGTGGGTGCTATGGCAAGGGATTTCTTAACACTTGAAGGCTGAGTTGCCTTCTCACCCCATCTGCATCATGTGTGCTTGGGATGATGGTACCAAGATGTAGAAAGAACTACAGAGCTCCAGACCTGAAAGAAACCTGTGACAAGTCTCAGGAGTGTCCCAGTTTGTTGCACACTTTATTGGTGTGGGACAGCATAGGTGTCAGGAAGGCAAGGTGGTGTTAGACCTCTGGGCTAGGTACTCCAAGCACTGCTTTGCACAGGACCCTCTGGGGAAACACTGGCTGTTG